GGTGGGAGGGGAAGGGCTGCGTATGGCAGGAATAGCCCAGTGTGACAGACCGGGCCGTGTCTGGGCACAGCTGAGGGTGTCCGCTCAGGGCAAATTTCTCAAATCCGGGGCTCCTTACAGCCCCAGACTGGCGACCTCTCCAAACAGGCCACAAACCAGTCCCACAGAGCGCTTCAGCAGCCTGCCTGAAGCCTCATGAGCAAAACCCCTTCGACGCCCCAGCAAGATCCGTGCCCCAGATGGCCCTGGGCCTCATCCACCGGTGGGGGGTCCTAGCACCCAATCCCACCTACCCCGAACAAGTTCTGTCCGGTTCCAAGAAACCAGCCACAGATCCCTGGTCAATTTACCCTCTGGACCTTACCCACAAATCACGCTGGGCCAATCCTTTGGCATCTAACAACTAAAGGTTTATTATCACAAGAAAGAAAAGCATGAGAGTAAGGTTATTAAAGTACAGAACGTTACATGCACCGAATCTCCCAGTTCTTGGTGCAGGCTCTAGCAGAGATGTTGCAGCTGCTGGTTTAAAAGTTCTTATTGCACATCCTAGGATCAGGATGGGTTCACAGGTCTTCCGGGCTCTTCGATCCCTGCGCTGCTGCCTCTGGGATGAAGTGCTGAGCTCAAGACAAAGTGGAGTCCCTCACATGGCCTCTTTATACCTCCTTCCCGGCCTCTTCTTGACTGCAGCCGGTCACCTGGCCCTCAGCCTCTCTCTGGCAGCTCTTAGGTGTCTTCCCTCATGCTTTAGGTGTGTCCTTGGCCCATTGAGAGCCATTGTCCCACAGGGGCTCGCTAATTAGCATGTCCATAGGCCCGGCCCTGCCCAATGCTCAACCACATGCAGGGAAATATTCATCTTTCACAGATTACAGATTCCTACCTACACACACAGACATTATACACTCACATGACTAGCGTACACAGGATCAGCAAACAACAAGCTCCCATTCAATACCCCACATGGCCCCCTTTTATACCATTGTTGGGGCCAGCACCCCACCTATGGGTGCAGCCATGATCCAGCTGCTTCCCTCCAATTCGGTCACGTGACACCCAGCCTGTCCCTTCTCCCCAGCTCACTGCTGTTTGCCTCTCCAGGATCTCACAAATGGCACGATTATCCCTGCGACCGGAAATTCCCGTTCGTCTGTAAGCAAAAATCCCGTGGGAAGAAGCTCGCCATGTGTGAGGGCACCACAACGCCCGGGCAGTGAATGACCTGGGTCCCTCCGGCGCCCCTGGCTGCAAGGTCCCTGCTGCAGCACATCGCTGTGTGACGCTGCCTCCCTCCAGCCCCGCCCTGCCCCTTCCCTCCCGTCGCCCCCCCGCTCGGCTCCACAACCCCCGCGCCGGGAAATAAACGTCCCCTGAGCATCCAGCTCTGAGCGTGTCCCTCTCTCTTTCGAATGCAGAGGGTTGGGCGATCAGCTGGATATCTAAGGTGTTTGTACAGCAATGCGAGAAGCCTGGGTAACAAACAAGAAGAATTAGAGGCCCTGGCCCAGTCCAGGAACTATGATTTGATTGGGATAACAGAGACTTGGTGAATAGTAAACACCTCGATAGCTTTCATCACCATACAATTCTGACAGGTGCCACGCCCCTTTCCCGCCCTTCTTCCTACCCTTTCCCCGCCCCTGGTCCCCCTCTCTCCCTGCCCCTTTCCCGTGATGCCTCCTAAGCCTCCCATGGGCCCCTCCACCACGCGACTTCCAAAATGGCGTGATGGCGTTATGTTGGACGCACGCTTTCCAGGTCGGGGAAAATGGAGGCCGGCTTATCCGTCTAAAAAGAAAAGAAATAGCAAAAAGGGGGAAATTGGAATAAGTGTGGCAGGTTAAAAAGAGAGAGAAGCTGAAGAAAAAGCTAGTGCCAGAGAAAGAAAAGAAATAGAAGAAAAGGGGAGAGAAACAGAGCAAAGCTAGCACCAGAGACAGAGAAATTGGGGGGAGGGAAAGAAAAAAGTGGGGGGAGAGAGGGAAACAGGGAGATGCTAAAAATACAAGAAGGAAAGGGGAGAGAAAAAGGGGAAAATGGAATAAGAGAGGCTGTCTAAAAAGAGAGAGAAACAGAGACTAAAGAAAAGGGAGGAAAGAAAAACACTAGCGGCAGGATGACCAATTGGTCGATCTGACCAATCAGAGAAGCAGTGTCCAACCCATCTTTTGGTCTGTCCAATCAGAAGCACCCACAACCCCCACCGGTCTGTCCAATCAAAGGCATCCCACACTTTTAAACTGTCCAGCCAGAAGC